CTGGCCTATGCTCAGTGTAGGAACTCTGTTCCTCAGGCTGGAAACAGTGAGGGGGAAATCCTTTACCACAGTGTAGGATGGTTTCCTGAGACGGGGGTCACGGTCAGGGGACCTCACTTAGATCCAGTCACTCTCCAGGAAGTCCCTGATGTGCTGCACTCACACAGTCCCCTGCCAGCTCCTTCCCCTCCTCACTCACGTATGTGTCCACCCATCCTGGAAGTGATGGAGAGGCAGGGAAGAGAGCAGGGCTCCCTATCTTCGAGAACAAGATTTCCACCTAGCATCAGGTGAAGCCAATCAATTGAAGCCAATACCATCACAGCAAAGTTGCTCTAGGCAGTTGACTTGTAAGTATCGCATGATGGATGAAATCCATTGAACCCAATGCATTTCTTTTTTTTTTTTTTTTTGTCTTTTTCATTTTTATCGGTACTGGGGATCGAACTCACGACCGCCTGCTTGCAAGGCAGGTGCTTATGCCGCTGAGCTAAATCCCCAGCCCCTAACCCAATGCATTTCAAGACAGTGGTCTTCTAGTGATATCTTGGACCAAAATAAAACAATGCATGTTCAAGAAAGAAGTTTGGTAAATATGATTACTTATTTTGAAGACTGAGAGATCTCTCACTTTTTTCCCCTTTCTTCCCCGACTTGGTCCAGTTCCTCAAGCCACTCTCACTCATAATACAAAAAGGATAACTTTATTTATATCCCAAGTTTTACAAAAATTTAAATGTATATTTTAAATTTTTTTAATTTTTTAAATATATGTTTTTGAAACAGGTTTTTGTTAGGCAGCTCAGGTTAACTTCAAACTTGAGACTCTCCTGCCTCATCCTCCTAAGTGCTGAAATTACAGGCATACGTCACCATGTCTACCTCCAAGTTGTCTTTTTAAAGGAATTTTTTGTGGCTTACCAAAAGAGAAAAGCCCAGGCAATAAAAGCAAAGATGTATGAATCAAATAGGAGAGCAGTAAAGAAAAAGTAGACATCAAATACTCCTTCTTGTTGGTTCAGGGAAGCCCAGTGCCGGACTTGATGGTCCAGATGAAAAGGAAAACACAACACGTAGCTCTCTTCACCAGAAAAAAAGGAAACATTTTTAAGAGACTGCTGAGTTTGTCTTTGTACTAAACTTTGAAAGCAGTTTCTCCTATGGTAGAGAGAGAGAACGGGCAATCTTTTGGATCAAATCAGATTAATTTTCAAAAACAAACCTGCAAGACTAGTTATTCTAATGACTTTTTATGAAAGCTGAAAATCCTAACACTGGAAATTAGCTGAAGAGCTACTGATTCATTATGAGCATCATTGACATTTCTCAGAAGCACACTAGTTTCAGCTTAAACTATGAAGAACTTTTGGATGCAAACGCTATTTTCTCATATGTTAGTCATTGTTTTATATCTTCAACAATGTAAATGTGAATCACTGTTATCATTTAAGTCATTATGATTTTTAATGAGATACTGCTTTGGATAAATCCTGGAACATGCAAATAATGACCTATCTCTGTGCCTGTAATAATGATTAATAGGAGGAACTGGGGTTATGATGATTCAGACAAAGTCCACTTTACTTCGCATGTGATCTCTTTATTTATTGAGATCAAATGTCTCTTTTCCCATTTGAGCCAGTGGAGTCTATAAGAGACACCAAAATAAAATGGTAAGATATATGCGGAAAGTCGGGGCTATGAAAACAACTTAAGTATGGAGTCGAGACCAGGGTGGGCAAAACGTGAAACAGGACCAAATGAAGATTTGATGGTGAAAAAGCCATCCTGTCTCGACAGACTGGCTGCAAACTGGCACTTCCTGGAAGGTGGTAATCTACAAATGGCTTCCTACAACATAACTACACTATTCCACCAGCATCACCCTAATCCGTAATCTGCTACTATCACGAGAAACTAAGAGTGATGGAATTTGCTCTTCATGATGCCACAGTAGCTTCCAGTGCCTGTCGCTCGCATTTTGAGATGCTCTTGGGGCATCTCTGCTGTGCTCTGGGCCACTGTCCCATCTTTGTCGTGCCATTTGCTGCATGCCCAGTTGGTCTCCCTTGGAACTTGAGCTTTCACATGGCTTTGTCTTACCGTGGCCTGGTTCCACTTGGGGTCTTTTCAGAGTTGCCTACCTCTACTAACTCAAGTTCTTGGTTGTTTCCAAGAGTAATAATCTGGTTGGTCCAGTTTATCCTTGGTCATCTGGCCATGTTACAGGTTGGTAGTCTATGGGCCAAGTCACACAGTCCAAAATAGGTTCCAAGAGGTAGGGTGGGGATGTGCAGGGAGTTGTGTGTGTGTGGTTTCCTTGCAATCGGGTTTAAATCGGACAAGCCACACGATCTATTTATGTGGGGAGGGACTGAAATCAGCATAGGAGAGCGAGCTGTCCCCTTGCCTATGTTGCATCAGTTTACTGAAAGCTTTTCCAGTTTGCCCAAGTCATTCTCTTTGGAAGTGTACTAGAGGCCTTGGGGATTTGGGCAGAAAACACTTCCTTATAAATGTAACCAACACACAGACTTCTGAGGGTATTTGACTTTTGGATACTTTCTAATCAGACTCGCGTCAGCATGGACAATCAGTTCCAAGGGCAGAATCCTAGCCTCACCCCCAATGAATCAGAATCTGCAACTCAACAGAGCCACCGAGACTTCTCTGGGCATTAAAGTTTGAGAAGCACTGATCGTATCGCAAATACGACAGTGACACTTGATTCATCCCTGATAAATGATTGAGGCTTTCCTGAAGTCTTGTAATTGTCAGTAGTAGATTCGGGAACTGAAACCAGATGTCTCGAATCCTCGTTATATTTATTTTCCACTACTCCAGGCTGCACTGTCAATTAGGAAGCAAAGAGATTCCTTTAAATCATTGGTTAAGAAGAGCAAATTAACATGGTTGGATGACTACCTAAACATAGTCCTTTGGGGTGTAAAGAAGGGCAGGATTAAGTGCGTTAGGCCAATAGGTGCAGTCTGACCCACCTTGCATAGCCCTCTTACATGTGCTAATTAATTGTTTTCTTTTTTGAGATGGGGGTCTTGTTGATTTGCCAGGATGATCTCAAATTCATGATCCTCCTGCCTCAGTCGTCTGCATAGTTTGGATTGCAACCAGGCCCAGTTTGCTAACTAACTTAAGCAGTGTAAATATTAAATGACAAGGTTACTTTAAGACTTTAACTTAAGAAAAAATCTGGTCTTCAAGTAAATGGCAGTCCAGAAGATCTCTTTATAATAGACTCATCATAATAACCAAGTTAAGAAAAAAATAAGAGCATGGAGAGTACAGTCACAGGTCACCAATTTAAAACGATTTTGATATTACTTTGCTTACCTCCTTCAATGTATTTGAAATTTGAAATCAAATAAACTTGCAGAACTGGATGAAACAATAGTTTCTTAACTGACAGACGGCGTGGCGGTGGCTGAACTACAAGCTTTGTCAAGTGGCTGCTTGCCAAGTCACTTCCCTATGAGTCAGCTGGACCTCAGTGTCTGCTTTCTGAAACTGTTATTCCAGTATTGTCACTCAGAGCATGACAGCAACTTGGCTCCTCTCACTGGGACAGGATCCAGATGTCCCAAAGAGCATCTACCAGGTGCACCTCCCAGGACCCATCCAGCATCAGCTGGGAGCTGTCCTCTCCCAGCATCAGCTTTAGCTGCCACGCTTAGGCTGCCCAGCTCTGGAAAGGAAAATCAAGCCTGTTCTTGAGTCTGACAGTCCTCAATCTGAGACCTGGGAGATTTTATCCTGTCAGAGATTTAGCCAGTGTTCCACATTTTGTGCTGTTCTCATTATATCATCTTTAATGAGTCTACTAATATATGAATAACAGCAATAATGGAGTTTATGTAGTCTTTCTGCTTTATCTCGTTTTAACAGCTTCATGAGATAGGCACTGTTTTGCACCATCCACTCGACAGAAACTAAAGCACAGAAGGGCTAAGTATTTATCAAAGTCGCACAATAAGTAGCAGAGTTGAGATTTGACCTCAAGTAATCTGATTTCAAAGCCTATATTCTTACTGCCATTTATTATTCCAACAGTTCTCATCTTGGTCTGGGAATGGATACATTAATAGATATGTAAGTAATGGACTCACTAGGCATGGTAGTTTTATTTATTTATCTATTTATTTATACATTGTAGCTCTAGGGATCCAACTCAGGACCTCACACATGCTAAGCAAACTTTCTACCACTGGCTACATTCTTAGCCCTTAGGCATGGTTAAAAAATAAAAAAGAGGTTCCCAGGAGGGATGTAGCTCAGTAGTACAGCGTGTGCTTAGCATTGGAGGCATCCTGGGTTCAATTCCCAGCAAAGGGGTGGGGTTGGAATTGGGGGTAGGGAGAGTTCCAAGAGGCAACGATGAACTAAGGCTTACTGAATATTCACCCCTTGTTAGTCATAGCTCTACGTGCTTGTCCGTGCATTAGCTCAGTAATCATAAAACCAAAACCAGAATCAAACAAACCTCCGCCTCGCTGGCTAGAAGAGAAAGAGGAAGACCAAAGGGATTCAATTCCTGGCTAAGTCACAAAACCAGGGTTCAGATCCAGTCTATTGGGAGGCGAGCTGCATTCTTCACTTTCACCGGCAAGCATATTGCATTGCATGTTGTCTCCTCCGTTATTCTTTCAGCGCTTGCAGGCCAAGCTGGACAGGTGTCATTTCGCACCCACACTCGTTTTCGGAGTGCTATGCGCCATTCAGTGACTCTTGGAAGCAGGCTGGGCAGGGATCAATAGCCTGTTAACAAGCTGTCTTTATTCTTTCCCAGGCTTCAGGGGTGCAGTCCAAATCACCTGAGCGTCCAAGACCTGCAGGTCTCACCCGTGGCTCCGCTGGGTCCAGGTAGAATCGGACCTCGCCCCCTGGTGGCAGATAGGGGCTCGCGGCGTATGCTAATGACCCCGCAGCGCCTCTCTCTGATTGGCCGGCGCCGATTCCCGCGGCCTGGCAAGTGGGCGGGTGGGAGTGAGATTCAGTGGCGGGCAGCGGCTGGGGTCTTGCGCTCCTGGCTCTGCGCCTCTCGGGCGATGCCCGCAGTCAGCTGCATGGGGTGGTGTGTGTGTATGTGTTCCTCCTCTAGTATTTATGTTCTGATCTGAATTCATCCAGGGTCCAGGATGGCCATCCGACACCAAGACCAGCAGTACAGGCCGAGGATGGCATTTCTGCAACAGGTAACCCTGGGGGCCCTCACCTGGCCCATGGTGAATGGACGGGGACCAACTCAAAGGACCCCTCTGAGGAGATGCTGGGCAAGAGGAGAGGCGTCCCTTTGGTCGGTCCGCTGATTGAGTGCATGGACTAGCGTGTGTTGTGATAAAAATCGTATCTATTTGGTTTTCACGTGGCCTCTTGAAGAATCCACACTACTCGGGCAGGACTTGGGAGTGGCAGAGCAGTGCCACCTGAAGCAGAGGTGACAGAGGACAGCTTAGCTCTCAGTTTCATAAGGAACCCACGAGTTAATTTCATAGCTGCTATAGGTTGCTATTTCTGGATCTGATGGGTGATGTTGAAAGTGAAAAATATATTTTACATACATAGATCGAAAGCACATACTTACAGTCTGGGCATAGTCACCATCTTCCATTGCTTGGGTCCTTGGGCTGAGTTTGAGCCTAAATGTCAGGGTTTCTTGGTGCTAACCTCATTCTGCACTGTTTCCTCTTAGTCACTAGTAAGGTACTGTTCTCTGAGCTCTGTTCTAGGCACCAGGGGCTTAGTGATTGGAAAAACAGGTAAAGCTCTCTGCTCAATGACCCTTGAGGCTGAGTGAGTCACCCAAGGGCAGTTTCATGATGCCCAGTCTAGGAAGATGTGAGTAGACTGAAGACTGGCACCTCACAAGGAACCTAAGGGTGCTTCTTGTCAAATGGCACCCTTTCTAGATGAGTCTCTCAGCCAGCAAATGGCAGAGCTGGAAATCGACAGTATGATGCCTTGGAATCCCACCGAAGAGCAGCACCTGAGCCTCTTTGCCCACTGGCATTTTTTCTGGCCCTAGGAACATAACTGGCACACATGTGACCAGAGTTCCAGGGAGGGGATGCCTCCCAGGGCCAGCAGGTGATCTTGAAAGGCAGCTGTAGATACATTCAGGGGTCCTTCCTTACTGGGTGGTCTTTGAGGCGAGGTCCCAGCAACTTCCAGGAGGCTACAACTCCACGGATACCTGCTCATGAATGTACCTTGTATTCACTTCTTACCCTATCCTGTGTCCCCAACCACCTACAACTGCTTCTTGGAATCTTTTTTCCATCAATGCTCTAAGTTTGGTTATTATCTTCATTTTACAGGAAAAGTAATGTGAGGACCTTCCAAATCTGTGTGAGGAGAAAGCTTTGAAGCTGGAAGGAGATGAGGCATCTACTGGGGAGCAGGATCAAGGTCCAGGCAGCAGGAGGTGCGTGTGCCAATGCAAAGAGGAGTGGGAACTGGGTTGATCTGAAGGTAAATTGTTCACTGTTGCACTGTAATTGTGCAAGGAGAGTGTAAGGCTGGACAGACAGGAAGGGACAGATCATAAAGACTTCCTGTGCTTTATAAAGATGCTTCACCTTTTCCTGAAAGAAGCCATCAAAGAATTTTGGAGCAGGTGAGTGACGTGGCGGGGTTCAGGTTCCAAAGGCTGCTGGGATAGGATCAAGAGGAGTGGGTGGGATGTCTTCTTTCGAGTTGGGTCACTTGGTGTTCTCCCGTTCCCCCTATCACTCAGCTGCCTGGGAAAGGCAGCTTCTTAGGGAGCCAGTGAGAGAGCTTCTGTGATTCCTCAGGTCCTCATGCACTTTCATTTCAGGTGTGGTGCAGCCGGGGGAAAACATTCTCACCAGCCAGGATGCAACCACTTGGGATGCCCGGATTCCTTTTGATGTGGTGGAACAGAAAAAAAAAAAAACACAAAAAACAAAAAATGGGCAACTGAAATGAATGGATGCTTCTCAGAAGAAGGAGACTGAGAAAATGTTCAATCTTGCTGGCCATTAGAGAAACACAAATTAAAACAATATTGAAATCCCGTCTTACTACAGAAAGAATGGCTGTCATCAAGAAATCAAATAATAAATGCTGGTAAGGATTCAGGGAAAAGGAATCCTTATACATTGTTGGTGGGAATGTAAATCACTATGGAAATCGGCATGGAGATCCCTCCAAACACTAAAAATAGAAATTCCATTTGACCCAGCAACTCCGCTTCTAGGAATCTTTCCAAAAGAGTTAAAGTCATCATATTACTGTGATACATGCATGACCATGTTTATAAGAGCACAACCTATAATAACTAAATCTTGGAAACAGCTTATACCATATGCATATCAACAGATGAATGAATAAAGAAAATGTGGTATTTATGTAAAGTGGGATGCCACTCTGCCACAGAGAAGGCTAAGTTTGATTCATTTGTAAAGTGAATATACCTTAAGATTACAATGTTCAGTAAAATAAAGCAGACTGATAAGTTTAACTATCCCATGGTTTCTCTTATTTGAGAAATTTAAAATACAAAGTAAAAAATAGATGGTAGGGAGACCTTTTTCAACTGGAAAGGGAAATAAGAGAGAGAGGGAAAAGGAAAAAGATGATGAAAAAGAATTGAAGAAAAGCAGAAGTAGAGCTTTTGGAAACGGAAAGGGAATAAAAGTTGAAAGGAGGTGCAAAGAAAGGTAGAGGTAAGGGATAAAGGAAGGGTTCAGATGTGCTACGTACGTGGATAAACTCCTCGCGATAAATGCAATCGTGCTGCAAGCGTGTCCTAATAAAATAATTACGTTTAACAAAAAGGAGATGTGGTGGAGTGAGAGGAAGAGTGCCTGATCCAGGGCTTTGCCTGAGGGAGCAGCTGATGACACACAGTAGACCTGACACCAGCATTAGGGAGCCTGCTGTGACCCAGCCCCGTGGGGCTCCTGCTCCAGTCCCACTAACCAGGGCCATCTAGGAGTGAGATGGAAAAAGCTCTCCAGTCTCCTAAGATGTTTTCTTTCTTGTCTCAAGGAAATTTAATTGGGCTTGGGGGAGGGCTACAAGGAGTAGGGACCTTACTGAGTCGTGGGCAAGGATTAGAATTGCTTGAATCATTTCCCCATTTAATGAACATTTACTGAGAGCTGATTATGTGTCGTGTATTGTTAGATGCTGGATAAAGACAGATTTTGAGACACAGTCTTTGTCCTCAGGTGATTTGTTATGTAATAATGGGAGAGGACCACACAGTGTGACTTAATGGCACATCACAGGTGACACAGCAGATACCTGGAGATCAAAGCAACTGCTGAGTGTGAATGTTTGCTTGATCTCAGGTGGAGTGCTTGGAAGGGTACAGAGTGGGGTGTAGCTTAAGGATGTGGAGACAGACAGATGGGGGGCCAAGGAGGAGATTAAAGATGAAGGAGGAAAAGGGACACGAATTTAACTATGGATCTGTTATGTGTTAGTTGTTGATTGGCGCCAATGACAATGTCCAGCGGGCATTCTTGTTCTCAAGAGAGGATCTGAAAGCCTCGAGACACGTAACAAGCTAGTCGTTTGGTTTTTTGAGACAAGATCTTATTCCATAGTTCAGGCTGACCTCAGACTTGTCATTCCCCTGCCTTAGCCTCTTAAGTGCTGGGATTGCAGGTATGCACCACCACACACAGCTCCAACTGCTCCCTGAAAATGCAACAGACACAGGTGTTGTGTTTGGGGCTGGGGCCAACTAAGAGGCCATGTGGGACTTGGGCATTTAAACTGTGAATGGCAGCACTGTGGTTGGGATGTGAGTTGTTTATAAGAAAAGAGAGCACAGTGGTTTGGGATCACTCTTTACATCTTTGCACAGCCAAGATGATTATAATTTTTCCCCCCTGGGAGCTCTTTCTGGTTTATAGGGAAATTCCAGCCCTGAAGGTCAACCACTGACTGAGCCAGAATCTGTGAGCCAGTGGATGGGATACTGGAACCATGGCTTTCTAACATTTGGAGCAACTGTCTGGGGTTCTTTATTCTTCTTCTTCTTTTTTTTTTTTCAGTCTGGGTTCTTTAAACTAGTCACAGCTGTGGCTTGGTCAGCTGGAATCTGGGAGGAGAAAGGCTTGCCTGGGGTGGGCCTCTGTCTTGTAGCATTTGTTTGCAGCCTCAAGGAATAGCTGTGGGGAATCAGGACTGTAAGAGAACTTGGAAGCTGTGGTGCGGTGCACAGAGGTCGGATGGGCGAAGGTGTGTGGAACAGCCAGGGAATGTCACTGTGCCTGATGAAAGGAAAGCCCAAAAAAGGATGTGCACAGGGCAAAGACAGCAGGCCTGGAACAATGCTGCAGCAACGCCCTTTCTGGATAACTTAAAATCAAGATGGATTTTCTCCCATCATTGTGGGGTAGGGTTTCTGCCTGAGTCAAGGAGATGGACAAAATCGCCTCTTTAAGAAAAACCATGCCAGTCCCAAGGAGTCAATTGAAGTTTTTGCCTTTTGATTTATTATAATTTCAAAACAGAACTCCTTAAGTGAATTTACACAGGGAAATGTCAGAGGGAAGTTATTCTGTACTAGAGTAGAAAGATCCCTAAAAATGTGACATACCTGTCCCCCTCTTCCCAGCAAACGATTCTCTTTATTGCACCTTTAAATACAGCTCTTGTTATCTCTTTCTGAAGGTTAGTTTCAAATTCTTCATAGACTTTGTTTTTAAAAACACAGTGAAGCTGTTGACATTTTCATCATCATTGATATCTCTAACTGGCAAAGACTCCTCCATGTACTGCTGAGTCCTCTGTCTTTAAAAAGACAGTTGCTTCACCCAGTGAAGTACAGTATTCCAGTGAAAGGCTGTTTGTAAACTGGAAAACGTTATGAGGGAAAGAATGAAGAAACTGTAAGTCATTGAAAACTAAAACAATAGGCCATGGTGTGTGTGTGTGTGTGTGTGTGTGTGTGTGTGTGTGTGTGTGCGCTGCCCCGCTGGACCTAATCATCTGAATAATGTTTCAGCTAATGTCTCCTCTCATCTCCCCTCCCAGCTCCCCTCCCTCCTGGAGTTATCACTTTGCTTCCCTCCTTGCTGCTATCTCTATAGCTGACCCGGTGGCACAGGACCCTGCCAGACCCTGACATTGCAGAAAGTCAAGGTCCACAGTTCCAAATGGAGCCACAATGAGTAGTTTCAGTTCCAAAACAATGCTCGGAGCCAAGAGAGTGTCCGTGCAGATGAAGCATGGAGTCACTTACACAGGCGCCTGTACCTTGCATGCTGTCTGAGTGGCTGGCATTTCCCCTAGAGCCCTGAGCAGTAGAACTGTCTTCACCATCTTCCCTCTGTGCCCCTGACCTTGGCCTGTTTCTGAGATTGTGGTTAGCTGCAAATGCTGTTTTAGCAACAAGGACTGTAATAGGAAGTCCCCCTTCTTAGTGCTAATTTAGGACAATGCCTCATACTTCTCTCCTCCTCTGGAAGGTGGAAGCCTTCCATCAGGCATTGAAAGCTGGCATTGGTAGCTGAGTAGGAGGTTGCAGGAATTTTTCTATTCTGCTTTCTCCTGGGATGTTCTTTTCCTCTGATGCTACCAGAGCAACCCACACCTCTTTCCCATTCTACCTGGCCACATCTTGCATTCCCTTCAAACTGCTTCTTGTAGGAAGCCGTCCTGAACCATCCTGTGATTGATGCTCCTTTTGGGGTTCTGGGGAATTTGGATTTGCATGACTCATGGGACACACTTTATCCTGGCCTGCCTATTGGTCACCTCCGTTTATATCCTTTGCTATCCCTGCTCCTGGAAGACAAAAATTGTGTTATTTTCTTGTAGCAATCACATTGTTGGACCCATAAGCAGCATTCCATTAAATCTCTTTCTGTAAGGTTGTATAGCTAAGTTTTTCTTATGGAGCCTTCCTGGCTGGTCCCTAAAGGACATATTGTGATAACAATAACTTCTATCAGTACCACTTTCACTCCAATTTGCCTCCCTTCCTGCATTGCCTTAGAGTTTATATACCTGCTTTGCATTCATTATTTTCATTTGATCTTCACATCAACCCTTTTAAATAGATGGTGCAGGTATTACATTATTTTTCCTCCAGTGTATGAAAATACTAAAGTTTGACATATTCCCACTGGCTTGAACCATCAGAAAATAGAAAAGAAAATAGCACCCACTAGCAGAATCACCAGGATTTACACATATAATCCAAAAGAAATACACACACATACACACACACCCTTACAATAAAGCATTCATGAAATAATTTTTACCTTACTAAATGAAATCATGCATGACTGTTCCATTGAGTGGCTTGTATCACTAGCAGTTCTGTATGGGACAGTCATGCACATACTACCAGTGGTTCAGAGATACCTAGCAGCAAGGCACAGAAATTCAGCCCATCTTACATATGTTAAACAGGTTAAGTGACTGGCCCATGATCACATGGCTGACACTTTTCTTTTTCTTAGCTTTATGGAGGTCAGGGAAATCAGTGGTCTCATTCAGACCACAGGAGTATACCCACATGTGAAAAAGACTTGACAGATTGACTGCTCAAACGATATTATGTAAAGTTATGATCAATTTCAGGGAAATTGCTAATGTAAGATTGCAGAAGCGAAATCAGAAGTGCAGTCTATTTTGGTGGCTCTGGAAGTGGCTCACAGGCACCACAGAGCTGCCTGCACTGGAGAGCCCTTCTGGTGTGGCTGTAGGGCGGGCAGCAGGAAGTGGCTGGGCGTGGAGGGGTGCAGAGACAGAGTTCCCTGGCAGAAAGACTTTCGTTCTTACTGTAGTTTCTGCGTGTATCCTTGTCGCTGTTTCTTTGCTTATGTGGCATCCTCATTCTGGAAACCTCTTATTCACTCCCTGGAGCTTAGGGCTGTATTTTCAGTGAAATGTCCTAGATATTTCTGTGTACAATTCCAGCAGCAGGACATAGCTGAAGTGTTTCTCTCCCCCAACAGGCTGCCTTTCTGCATTTCCTGTTTTGACTTCTGATTCTGGGGTCGGATAAAAGAAATAAAAATAGGAAGGAAGGAGACAGATGATAATAACTTTAAAGATGTGCTTTTAAGAAGATAATAACTTCAGGCCACAAAGTTACCTGAAGTTATTGACGTGCACTCCCTAGGCTTTTTATGATTTTCTTCTAGGCCCATCACACCCTAGGTCCCCTAATGACAATAAGTGTCCAGAAAATTAACTTAGTTGATAAGGTAAAGAGCAGAAAAATGGCCGTAAGATAGAGAAAGGTTTTAACGAACGTTTTTGTGGAAAACTTTTCACATGTCTTTAAAAAAAAAAAAAAGCACAGTGGACTTGGCCACTACATTTCTGCTATAAAATGGGCCATTCTTTCACTTATAAAATGGTTCATTTTTTATCTTTCTACCTGTAGATGGGCCATTGATGTTTTCCTGTAAGCTAAGCCCAAAATTTCTATACATAAATTGTACAGATTTCCACTGCCCAAAACATAAAATTTCCTAGCTCCAGATTATCATG